CCTTATTTAAATTTGTTTTTCTTCATTTTGCATTTTTAGTACCATTTTGCTATGAGCAGCTAATCGTTTGTTCCTTTTGATTTTTTATAATTTCCTCTTTGTTCTATTGGATACAAACTGTTTTCCATCAAATGATTGAATATTGAATTTGCCAGTATCCTTGTAAAAAGTTTGAACATTGTTGGCAGACAGGTAATTGGGCAATAGTTGCTTGGTTCTGTGCCTTTTTCTGGATCTTTCATTATCAAGTATGTTCAACCAGCTGTTAACTTTTCTTCGCTTGTTATATTTTGAAGTATTTGATCAAATTGAGTGGCCATGCGATGATGGAGGCTTGTCAGGTGTTTTAGCCAATATCCATGCAATTCATCCAGGCCAGGTGCACTCCCGTTCTTGACCTTCTTTGCTTGTTTTGCCACCATGTCAGTTTTTATTACAATATTTTCCATTTTGTTTTTTGTTGTTTGTTGTTGAATATCTTTGATCCAGGAGGCAGTGTTGTTGTTGTTGTGTTCCACTGGGTTTTCCAAAAATTCAAAGTTTTTTATTTACATGGGTGAATATTAGTTTGGATTCGATTTTCATCAAGGGACCGGTAGAAGAGATGTTGATTTCTTCTGAAATGGACATTTTCATGATATTGTTTTATTTGTCCTTTGTACCTTTCAATTTTCCTTGCTGTTGCTATTGCATGTTGTTTTAGTTCTTCCATAATTTACGTTATGTTTTTTTCCTCCAGGTTGTATTTTTTATGTAAACTATTTTTCAGCTTTTTGTTATTTAGTTTTCCTTCTTTTAAGAATTTCAGATTGCTGATATCCCCTTGTAGTTTTTTAATTTTATTTTGAAGTCAAATTTTCCACTTTGGTGTTCCACTGGGTTTCTTTTTTGGTATTTTATAACCTAGTTCTGCAGTTATAATGGCAGCTGTGCTTTACATTAATATTTTGGTTCCATATAGTGTGCTGGATGGGATGGAAGTTAAAATGCTGTTCATGGCAGTTAACAGATCTTTCACTCGTTTGCTATGCCCTTCGCAAATGATAGGTAGTCTTTTCCTTTCTACATTTTCTTTGATGTGGTTTTTAATTTTTTCTTCCAGCATTTTTGCTAGATCACTTAGCTCTACACTTTCAAGTTGTTGCACAGGAGGGTCTTCTCCTGTATGTTCGTTTCTTCCACTGGCTGGTCAATTTGTTCAGGTGTTGGAGCAATTTCTTCAGCTTGTTCATCATG